CATTTCTGAAGCTTTATTTTTATTTATTTATATTTTTTGAGATAGAGTTTTGCTTTTGTTGCCCAGGCTGGAGGGCAATGGCACAATCTCAGCTCACTGCAACCTCTACCTCCTGGATTCAAGTGATTCTCCTGCCTCAGCCTTCCGAATAGCTGGAATTACAGGCATACTCCATCATGCCTGGCTAACTCTTTTGTGTATTTTTAGTAGAGATGGGGTTTCGTCATTTTGGCCAGGCTGGTCTCAAATTTCTGACCTCAGGTAATCCACTCCACTCGGCCTCCCAAAGTACTGGGATTACAGGAGTGATCCACTGCACCTGTCCTAAAGCTTTATAAACTTAAGGGAGACCCTGTGGTGTTTATCTCATGTAAAGCATGCTCCTAAACAGGAATTGACTGTGTCTGGCTAACTGGGCTTGAGTGGACCCCTGCAGGGCCCGGGCAGGTGGAGGGAGTCTCATTCTGTGCTTGGATCCTAACAGAATGTGCAAACAGAAAGCTCTACAGAGCAACGAGAGCAGCAGGGAGGAGAAAAGGATCCTAAAACATGGAGAAAGATGGGTCAGAAGTGCACAGATTGTTAGCATCATTTCTTCCAAGATGCTAATGTAAGCCCTAACTATAAAAGGGCAGTGGCTTAGCTAGAATCTGGCCATTCTCCATACTTGTTCAGGACCCACAAGCTTGAGATATCATTAGCAGTTAAATTCCTTCAAGGAGTCAATGAGCCAAGGAGAAAGAATCAAGCAAAGACACAACACATGTTCCCCTCCCCAGCAGCCATTCCCCTTTCCCTTCTTTTCCCCTCCCCCCCCAGCCCTGTTTCATGGCTAAATACATTGCAATGCTGAAAACAACATAAGCAAGGCTGAAGGCAGGGGCTTGAGTGTAAAACCAGGAGTCAACGGGCCACCAAGATAAGTATAAGGAGAATTATGGTCACAGCAGATGATGAGCAGGAGGGCTAGTCTATTTCTGGTGGGTGACTTTACCATCCCCCATGTGGTACGGTGACATTTGAGCAGGTCACCTGCAGTTCAAAGACTGAGCAGACACCACCCCACCCCAATCAGTCCTCCCTCCCTGTACTGGGAGGGCCTGGACCTTTGTGGTAGAAAGTCTTTATATAGACTCTGTCCATGCCTGAAGTAGAAGACAGGTGCCAGAGGCTCTTCCTTGGGCTCATACCTCCCCAAGTAGAACACTACACCTGGCCATGGTGTTCAATAGTCCGTTGATAAGGCCAGTTGCCAAGTTTCAGGGAGTTTGACAAGATCTTTGTAGGCCTGGCATAGAAGAAGTGGCAAAAGGAAGGAAGGGGATCTTTGACAAGAGAAGGTCCTAGAGCTGATGATTTTGGTGACTAAGAGCCTCATGTCCCAAACTCCTGATCTCAGGTGATCCTCCTGCCTTGGTCTCCCAAAGTGACCAGCCTGGCCAACATGGTGAAACCTCATCTCTACTAAAATACAAAATTAGCTGGTGGCGGGCACCTGTCATCCCAGCTACTCAGGAGGCTGAGGCAGGAGAATCGCTTGAACCCGGGAGGCAGAGGTTGCAGTGAGCTGAGATCGTGCCGTTGCACTCCAGCTTGGGTAACAGAGCGAGACTCTGTCTCAAAAAAAAAAAAAAAAAAGAACTTCATGTCATTATCTCTGACAGTCACTTTAGGTTGGCTTACGCCATACACACTGCAATCCTCTTCTGCCTTCCTCTGCTATAGACAGGGGAGCTAAGAACTCTATTCACCAGCCTTCCCTGCAGGAAAGGGTGATGATTGGAAACAATTCTGGCCAAGAAGATGTATAAAGAAATCGCCTAGGGAGAGGTGTTCTAGAAAATAGTTCCTTCCCTATTAAAAAAGGACAGAAGTAGCCAGGCGCGGTGGCTCACGCCTGTAATCCCAGCACTTTGGGAGGCCGAGGCGGGTGGATCACGAGGTCAAGAGATCGAGACCATCCTGGTCAACATGGTGAAACCCCATCT